TGTTTGTTTACTAGAAGCATAGGCGTTTGTTTTTTTTATATTTGCCTCAAGTTGTCTGAAGTCAGTTAACCTTAATGAGTGAGTTTTGTGAACTCCTGGGGATAGGGGTGGGGCTTCAAACAGTGGCTTCTCCAGTGTCTTGCTAAGGTTTGTGGAAGAGACCTTGGATGCAGATCTCCACTAACCTCCGGATAGAGACGTGGGTCTGTTGTAACTGAACAGCTGTTTCAGCTTCCTGCCTAGTGAAAAGTGGCAACCGTGGGGTCGCTCCTGCAGTCACCAGAAGGGGCACTGCATAGTTGTGGCAGCAAAAGGAATCATTTGAGCCAATTGGATTGCTTGGAGTTTAACAGGGTAGCATCTCCCAAACTGGCCCTAACTTGACAAGGAAATGGCATTATAAAGCAGATGTGGCTGCTTTCCTATATTCACTTTGAATTTGTTTTATTTGAAGCTCCCAAGAAACCGAAGCTCTGGAAGAATCCTTTGGCTGATTGTTGAGACAACTATTCACATAGGCCCTATGCACATCCTCCTGCACCTCGAGAGAATTTATCCAACTGGATTTTCACCAAAGGCCCAAGTGGACTGAGCCTGTGTCTGTCCCCCAGTAGCTGCTGAGGGTCTGCTCTAAGAGTGAGCACTGTGATTACAGGTGCGACTTTTCTCACGCTGCACATTTGCGTCCAGCCCTGTTCTGCTTATTGTCAACATCATTTCGATCAAATTCTTAACCTTCCCAACAAGCTTTGGAAGAGCTGAGACTCCCAAATTTAGAAGTGAGTCAATCTCAGCAATCAAACAAATATTTTAATGTGATTTTTTTAAAAAATGAAGTATTTGAAATCCTTGACTTTTAAATAGCAGCCAGCCGTCAGTAGCTGGTGGTTTCGTGATGAACTTCGTAGAAAACGGAGTAAGAAGCGAAGATGCAGGGATAGAGTGACCGTGAGTTGTCAAGGCTACAGGTCCAAAGATGCTGCGGAATGGAGCCAGGCCAACATTCTGGCAAGCAGAGGACCGGTCCCACGAGGACACGCGTGGCCATGGAGGCCACAGTTTCCTCAGCTGCTGGACTCCTCGAGCCTGCATGCAGCTAAGGAAGTATTCCGCAGCCTCTGCTGCCTGATCTCCAGATCACGTGGATACTGAAGATGGACAGCAATTGTCCGTTCTCCTCCTAGCCTAGGCTGGGCAGAAATGTGAGATTCCAGGTGCGCATTCACTCAGCTCCTGGAACAGGATGGTGACACATAGGAAGCTCTCTCTGTTTTGGCCTTAGAAAGGGAACTGGGTGAAGTAGCCCTGTGCCTTAGAGCTACTGATGTCGCCCGCAGATCTAGATGTTTAGGGCCAAGTCCTGCGGCTTTTGCTGGGACCCACAATCTTGCTTACCACAAACCATTTGTGTTCAAAAATACTTAACGTTTCCGTGGAACCTCTCCTCGCTGGTTGTCTGATTTCGTGAGGATCGCTCCTTACCCAGCACCAGGCAATGCTCCTGGGTCCCAAGGAACGCTCCTCAGGGGCCCTTTAGGGATGTGACGCCCTGCTCCTCGCATGGTTTGGGGGCATCTCTCCTTTGCAAACCAAATTTACTGATCTAAAGGCTCGGTGGCCTTTTACTGTCGCTCTTAAAGTGTCTACCCGGAAGAACTGGAAGGAAGATCAGGACAGGACTTCGGGCCATTATAGGAAGTAATTGCCTGATTACTGAGAAGCTGATGTCCCCAATGCCCTTGACTTTTGCCTCCCAAACCCGGCTGCGTGGTGGTGCCCTCTGCTTGGTACCTGGCCCAACGCCCAGGCGCAGTTCTCACCCACGGCGCCTGCGGACTATCAGCTAGATCTTTGCAGGATCTGTCCCTGCAGCTCCCGGCAAAACGTTCAGAGAGTTAAGTCAGGAACCTTGACTGAAAGCGGGTCACCGATTACTTCCTAGACAGTTAAGGAGTTGTCTAAGTTCCTGAGCTCGGGAGACTACAAGAGAGAATTTTCTAATGTGCGTGTCTTATATTAGGGGACATTGCCCAGTGCTTCCAGACAATACCGAAACCTTAAACGGCTCTGCTAGCTCTGAAGTTTAGCTGTCTATTGTAGTCCAAGCGCCTCTACGTGGTCTCAATCTTCGGTGTATATTCCAGAACAATCTGATATCTCTGTGATCAAGAATAACGCAGCTCAAATTCAAATAATTAAATAGCTGAATCGCTTTGCTTATGTGGAGTAATCATTGTTACTTACGGTTGGATGCTTTACACTGAACGATTTTAAATTCTCAAAGCCATCTACCACATAGCATTATAGTCCCATTTTAAAATAGATAATGAAACCGAAGCTTTGAAAGGTGTGGGAAGCCCACAAAACCACACAGCTAACAAGTGTTAAAAGTCAAAACTCAAAGCTTTCCTCAAGTCCAATGCCTTTTCCAGTATCAGAAAGCAGCCTGAACACACAGCCTGTCAACAGCCCGGGCAGGGTTGAGGGAAGTGTTAATGTGATTGCTTTGTTCTAGCTCCATGGGTGGTTTTCTGCATTAACCCTTGCTCCTCAAGGGTTTGGAAGGGACCTCAGAGCTAGTTGCCCTCAGCTTCCCTAGGTAGGAGGTTTGAATTACCCTGAGGCAGTTCCTCTCTGTCAGCACCGGCTCCCAGTCTTGTAGCAACACATTGATTTGCATAGGCAGCCCATCTAAGAGGAGAACAGCTTACCAAGATAGCCCTGCTGTAATGTTTCAGCGTGGTGATAGTTTCAGCGCCAACAAGATGCATAGCTTAAGGACATCCAAGTGACTCACCCCTGGCGTTCATTTCGATTCCTTTAGCTGACTGTCCCCTCCCACTTGCTCAGCCTCTTTTGCTTTTGAGTGATTTTCTCCCTACAAACATCCCAGAACTGGGAGACAGTGGCGCTTGTAAGAGAGTGGAATGTGAGCTCAACACTTCTGCTTTCCTGTGCTCGCTCAGCTTCTCTGAAACTGATGTATCTTTCGGGATGCCGTTCCAACTACAGTCTAAGCCGCTAAGGTAATAAAGATGGTACCTCCCCTTATAATAAGATGGAATAGCAAGTTTTATTAATTGAGGTGTAACGACATGATGAGCTATTGAAAACTAAACAAACAAAATTTACAACCTTAGTTGAAACATTATATCAAGGCCTATGTTAACCTCTTCCCTCTCTCCCAAAAAACAAAACAAAACAAAACAACTCACTTCTTCAAAGAAATCCATCTTCCTTGACAAACTCTAAAAATTCAGATAAGAAGCAAACCAATGGAAACCTTACAATAAAAAGAAACCATTACCTTGTTTAGGACATTGTATGTAAGGCCAGGAGAGACGAATGAATGAGCAGCTAAAAACATTTGTTGTTCTTCAGAGATCTGGAGGGCTTCACTTCTTAGCACACACATAGAGGGCTTAAACCAGCCTGTAGTCCCAGCTCCAGGGGATCTGATACTCTCTACTGGTTTGCACTTGCATGCATACACTTGTGAGTCCAGAGATTCAAGATCTGAGGGGAAGGGAGTGGGGTGATGGGGATGTGGATAAAGGATGGGGGGGAGACCTGCAGAAAAGAGACACTGCTCTGCCAACTTGTCACCTTCGATCTTTTAAAAGTAAGTGGCCCAGACAAGGGTGGGGAAATTTTTTCTAGTATGAAAAGTCTGCAGTTTTACTAATTTCCCCCAACATTGACATGTTACAATAGAGATGTTGAAATAAGCAAACATAGACAGGATGGCCACGCCAGCCTAAATCAGAACTTCGTCAGATGCCAACATTCTGTTTGCACGGGATGTTCTTAATAGTTATTTTGGCTCTCGATTTCGCCCATAACTTTGTTTCAGGAGCTGTGAAGAGTGGGAGACAGGAGATGTCTTTCTTTTTACGTTTTTTCCTTTTCCCCCTTAAGACCTACCAAGAGGTTCCTAATCACCAGACCAACTGGCTGGAAAGGAGAGCAAATATTTACAAGTATAGTTTGAGTGTGTGTGTGTGTGTCTTCTAGAGTTTACACGGCTGTGAGTGAAGCGGATTACCCTGCGAATTTGGAGAATTCGAATTATTTAGACTGAGCAAGGCCAACAGAACTCCCTCCAGAAGGCCGTGGGAAGTCCCTAGCGCAGTCTGCAAGGCAGATGAATGGTTCTGTGTCCCGGAAAGCCAGAAAGCTGGGAAGGTCACACTCTCCCACTACACGTTGCATGGTCCCCATAGAGCTCCATGTCCTGACCCTGCTCTTTGCTTCGGGCCACTGTCCTACTTTTCAGTCTCCAGAATAGAAAACCCAGACTAGAAGAGAAGCAATCAAATCACTACGTGGCAGAAGGCCAGGTCCTCAAAAAAAAACAAAAACAAAAACAAAAACAAAAACAACAAGACAAAACAAAACAATAAAACAAAAGCATCCTTCCCACAGAAACCCCGCAGCTGAGCATTTCTTCCCCAGAGCTGTGCCTCTCCAGCTCTCTGTGAAAGTAGATATAATTTGGGTACCATCAAGTGGGGACCTAGCACTGGGCACTGTGCAGTCACCAGGTGAATGCCGCTCAGCCTCAACGTTGTGGGATTTGCATTACTGGACGCTTCCCAACTATTGGGAACTTCTGAGCTCCAGTCGGAAAGAGAAAATAGCAAAACTCAGTAGGGCTTCCTCTGGTGACATTAGGTCCTGCGCCACTCGCGTATCTCTCTGGTGCTGGGTGGCAGTGAAAGCGCCTCTCTAGACAGCGCATGCTCCCCGCCTGCGGGATCTGAGACACTAGTCCGGGGTGGTAGGGCTAGCTGCGCCACCTTGTTAATGGCACGCTTCACTGTGCGTCATCCCGGGCTCTCCACCGCGAGCCCAGAGGCAGGAGGGCGCCGTGCCCTAGTTGCTCCCTCTCGGCGCCGCTCGGCCCCGCCCCACGCCGCACAGCTAGGAAGCGGTGACGTGAGACCACGCTGACTGGCTGCTGCCCGCAGGGATGGCCACAGCAAGCAAATTAAGGCGCGAGGCAGCAGGCGCCTAGGCTCAGTTTAGGTCGCGCCTTGTTGCGCTCTGCAGAGACAAGATCGGACTCCCTGGTTTCCGCACCCTCTAGAGTGCCACGGCTGATTGTCACCTCCCCGGACCTGGGCCACACCGCGGTCCCAAAAAGGGAAGGGAGAGAGAACTCGGCGTGGGTGCTGGGGACCCCGCGTTTTGCGCAGTGGGCTTACACACAGTTTTGAGTTCCCGGCTGGTCCCTACCCTGCTTTCCTGCTGGTTCGAAGTGTCTGCGGCTCCCCTGCTTTGCTCCAGTGGACATCGTAGAACCCTAGGAACCTGGGAACGGACTCTTTGGGAGTCCCCAGTTCCGCTCTGCCGGCTCTCGGGAACTTTGAGTTGCGTTTCGGGTCTTTGTTTCCCTTCGGGGAAGCTGGGCTGTGGTTTGGCAGGCCAGGTCCCTGAGCAGGACCGCACGCTGGGAACCATGGAGTTCACGGCGTCGCCCAAGCCTCAGCTGTCCTCTAGAGCCAATGCCTTCTCCATCGCCGCGCTTATGTCTAGCGGCGGCCCCAAGGAGAAGGAGGCAGCAGAGAACACCATCAAACCCTTGGGTAAGTCCGGGTGCTAGGTCGTTAGTAGGGGCCCTGTTAATCTGTTTCCTGGGTGCGGGTAGTTTGCTCCGTGGGAAGCAAAGGTGGCTTTTTCTACCCGCTGGATCCACTGCTAAGTCTCAGACTATGGACCAGAATTCGGTCCTGGGAGAAAGATTTTTTTTTCTTCTCCTCCCAAGTTTTCTTTGGGAGCTTCGCCGTCAACTAAAGGTCGTGGGAATCCGGCTTGTGTTTGTAGTCGTTTCCCTAGTTGGAACCCCGACGTCAAGTAGGTATTACGAATGCTGTACGAATTTGTTTGAATGAAAACAAATTTAAGGACAAGAGTTAAGATGCGGAATCCACGGCACATATAACACCAGAGCCTGAGCTTCGAATCAGACACTGAGCGACTTCACAAGAAACCAGTTTAATTTTTCTATCACAATGAACAGTCTTAATATGCCTATAAAGGTCTATAAAATAAGGCGGTTCTCCACGATGGAGAGGTTTTTTCCAAGAAAGCGCGAGGCTTGTCAGGAACCCCCCTTTTATACTTGTCATTTTTAATCGAGACTGGCAAAGCCTCCCCAAGTTCTTTGCCGTTTAGCTACATTGCCTTTGTAAAAACTGTTTTCTTTACAGAGAACACTAGGCACAGATTAAAGAGAAGATGAGCGGTGAGGGTCTCTTGAGTACATGAGGTTTGTATAAAAGCAACTGCTCAAGACAGGGGTTCTCAAAAACCTTACCACCTGGGGAAAAGAGTTGCCTTTCTCTCTAGAGGCCTCGGAAATAATTATCGCGCACCCCAATCACCGACTATTCTTAAAATCATAAATCAAACAACTAAGTTAAGGCAATTGAAAAAAATCACCACTTTTTCTTTTCTCTATCCTTTCCCAACTCTAATACACATCACATCCAAGAGAACAGCAGAGTGGAAACATCAAGGGGCGTGGGGAAACTCAGGAGCTTATACAGGGGCAGGAGATTACTGAAGTCCAAAACAACAATGATACCAAGGAGAGTAAGACCTAACTTCCATTTAAGTCAAGATCGGCCAAAGCAATGTGAACTAGCCAACAAATCCCTACCGCTTAGAGACAGCCTTGGCTATTACTGTCGAAGTCGGACCTCCTAAGGCTTCCTATCATTATCCTTTTTACATAGGGAATTTAATACCTCCATCTCACTTTGGTACTTAGGAGGAAAAAAGATCTCAGGTCAAAATTCCTGACAGACATGTGAGCAGTGGTCTGGAAGGTTGCCAGCTCCACTTACTATCATTTCTGTATCAGTTCTTTCTCTAATTTTCTAAACAAAACAAAACTTTTTTTTTCAATCAAAACTACAAATTCTAAATGTTAAGCCAATCCTAGCTCTCAATAGCCTCCAGCTACAGTCACCAACCCAACAGAGCATAATTACTTAATGTATGTCTCAATCAAGACCTCGAAGCAGAAACACCCAAAGGTTCTGTTAAGAGATAGTGGATTGTTTTCATTGCCCAAAAAAATCTGCAAAATGTGAGTTTCCAGTGTGCCTCACGACGCCCTGTCTCTTAAGTATACTAATTCTACTCCAAATAGCATTGTGGGCAGCTCTGTTTTGTTGTCTGTCCTCTATTTCTGTGGTGTTCTGGCCAGGTGTCACTTACAGGGCTTGCCTGTCAGTCCTTGGAAAATAAGAGAAGACTAGATTGTGTCCCAATTCCCTATAAAGATGTGGTGGGCATATGCTTCCTATAGTGTTTCAGGAGGCTGGTGCTGTCTGGTTTCCTGTGACTTTGAAACAACCTGCCCGGCAATTCATTTGATAATATTTAATTACCACTTCATGAGAAGGACGAATGTCTATTTTCTGTTATCTCCACATTAAGAAACATGAGAAATAAACCATTTCATAGTATAAATTCAAGCACATAGCACCCACTACTGCATGTTCATACACACAGCTGGAACTGGTTGGCTTTCTAGAGAGCAGTTAGAACATTCTGGTTTGATTGGGGGTATTGAAGCAGTTTCTTTCTTAAGAGATGAAAATAATTGTTAGGGGAAAACAAAATCAATCAAACAAACAAATACCCACCCTGTATTGCCTCAAGGTTAGTGTGGCTGTCCTGTCTCTTATCAGCTGGGTTGGGGAATGTTTGGTTCATAGGCAGCGATATTTCAATCTACTGGTGGGTGGCAAAATATTTTCCTCTTCTTCATTTCCTGCTGTTCTGAGGTTGAAGTTGTTTCCCTCACTTCCAGGGCTATTTGGAGGAAAAACAGTTGCATACGTAATTGGTCCATGAATCTGTTCCTATCTTTAAAAAAGAAAAAAAATCTATTCTAGCCCACCCCTGTGGTTTAGCAAGCTGGGTGCTGGCATTTTTGTAGTGTCACCTTCTGCAGCTAGAAAGTCTAGAATTTGAGGTGATTGTCGTAATAGTTACATTTTATCCTTCGAGAATACAGCCTTCCCTTTCCTTCATTCCTCATATTTTATTCTTAAGAGTGCTTCAGCCACGTAAGTAATAATTCGGCTCTTGTTCTGGATAGACCCTGCTCATTTGATTTAGTTAGCGCCCAGTCCTGGACATGTCCCAGATTCACAGTAATGGATCATGCGTTTCTGCCAGAGTTTCAGAGGTTAATAGAGTCAAATCCAAGTTTTGGGTACTCTCTCCAGCTCCTTCCTATGATGGTGTTCCTTGTTAGCTAGTGATACCAGTCAATCTTCCTTCTCCTTTCCTCCAGAACAATTTGTGGAGAAATCTTCCTGTGCCCAGCCACTGGGTGAGCTGACGAGCCTGGACGCTCATGCGGAGTTTGGCGGCGGGGGCAGCAGCCCTTCCTCATCCTCTCTGTGCACAGAGCCGCTGATACCTACCACCCCCATCATCCCCAGCGAAGAGATGGCTAAAATCGCCTGCAGCCTGGAAACGAAGGAGCTCTGGGACAAATTCCACGAACTGGGCACGGAGATGATTATCACCAAGTCTGGCAGGTAGTTGGCGTGGGCGGGCGGACCCCGAGCAAAGGGTACACCTGCGCTCTTGGAAGCCATGATTGGGAGCTGCCCGGCAGAGCATAGAGAGGTGGCTGAGCTCAGGGGTCTCCGCTTCCCACCAGTTCCCTTAGAAAGGGCTGTGAAACTGGAAGTGAAACAGGGTCTGGCTTCACGACACCACACACGGAGATGGGGACCTTGCCTGCAGCGCGGTATTTGCACCCACGCTGGCATTTTTGGTTCCGAGCAAGGCACGTGTGGCGGGCATTTGGCTAGAGGCTACAGAAGACAGGAGGAGGAAGAGAAGGAGGAGGAGGGGGGGGAGGAGGGGGCGGAGGGCGCGGCGCCGGAGGCGGAGGAGGAGGAGGAGGAGGAGGAGGAAGAGGGAGAAACTCTCCGTTATCAGTATGCGGAAGCCTCCCGCTTCCAATGAAAACTCAGCTGAAATCCCGGACGGAAGAACGGGAATGATGAAACTCCGGGTTGGACGGAGGCTGGGGCGGTGGCCTTGGACGCGGGAGCCGGGCTGCTTCGTAGAAAGGCGGGAGAGGCAGCGTCGACCCGCAGGTCGTTCTAAACCTTGGGCAATTCCTATCAGCTCTCAGAATCTGATTGATTCTACGAATCCCCTCCTTAAGGAATGCCCGGGATTTTTTGTGGGTTGAGCAACTGAGTCATCTCTGGTTGGGAGAAAAAAAAAAAAAAAAAGAGCAATTTTTTCCCCTATCAGTAAAGGTCCTTGTAAAAGAGGCATAAAATCATTTTTGAGGGGAAAGTCGTGTCTCTGTGGGCACATCTCTGAGGGTTCATAAAGAAAAACCAAGCAAGCAAGCAAACAACAAAGACCAAGAGGAAAATTGGGAACTGCAAAGCCGGTGGTTTTAACCTTTATCCTTTCTCCCCATTTCGAGCTGGCTCTTTACAAAGAGTGAATCTAGCCTCTCTCTCTCTTTGTCAGGAGGATGTTCCCCACCATCCGCGTGTCATTTTCTGGAGTGGATCCTGAGGCCAAGTACATAGTCTTGATGGACATCGTCCCGGTGGACAACAAGAGATATCGCTATGCCTACCACCGGTCGTCCTGGCTGGTGGCTGGCAAGGCGGATCCTCCCCTGCCAGCCAGGTTTGTGACTCTGGACTCCTTGCAGAGTAGAGTAGTATTAGTCTTTCTGATTGACGGGAATCCTAAGCGAGTTGTTTTTAAGCACTGGTCTTTGGCCAGAAAAGAGATTTTTAAGCAAGGACACCCCACAACTGAATACAAAACATATAGGTCAATCTTCAAGAAAGGTGAAGTTTATGCATGAAGAAAAGGTTACCTTTCATTTTATTTTTTGTCATTAAATTCAGACTTCCGTGAAATTCTCGTTTGAATATGTGTTAGAAATGTGATCTTTGTGTGATACACATGTATGTGTAATATTTCTAATAGACTACTTAGAGTCAGAGTAAATAAATGTGCTGACAGTTGCCCTAAAATCTTTATGCACATAATACATGTTAAGAAATTGTAAACAGTGTGATTATATCTGCATAGAATAAGCGTCATTTAGGTAAAATTGATTAGTTTTGATACACAGAAGATTCATAGGGTTTAAGCATTTCTTTTTCCCCCTTTACAATTTTGATGGATAAACATAATTCAATAAGTTAATATTCCTTTACATTAAACATAACTAACACATCGGAGACAATTCAACTTGTTTTTTGGATTACTTTTGCTAATAATCTTTTTTTCTGGGTGTACCCTATCCTAAAAAGTCTCTAAACCTCTTTGGAGCATTTTATTCAAAGAAGCATTCAGGAGGAATAGGAGCAAGCTGAGGTTACAGGGTTCTGTTTACAGATGTTAGTGTGGAGCAAGTAGCATGTGCTAAACTCCATTGTTTTGAATAAGAAAATGCACCTTTCATGACTAAGTTTTGACAATTGATTGAAAGCTAGACCACACCCAAGCATTTATTTCAATTTACAGATTTAAGATCAGTGGAAGTGTTTCAAAGAAGATGTCACACTTCTTTGTAACATCTTGTCTGTAGCCATTGACACCACAGACACAGTGGAATGTTGTACACGCGGTTTTGAAAGAACATCAGAATCATAAGCGTGATCACATTATTGGCCTTCCAGCTCGCTAAAGACACCAGGAAACAGATAACAGCATCTTTGGCTTTCTGTTCCTAAAAGAGACCTTACTGGGACCGCCACCTTCCAAGTCAGCATATTAAACAATTAGGACTAAGAAATACTTGTAAATGGCAATTTGTTCTTCTAAGTGAAGAAGCAATACTTCATAATAAATATTAAAATTGATAGAATTTGGTGATTTTTATATTTACTTCTGAAAAGCCAATCCAGTTGAATATTTTTTATGCAATAGCCCTATTTATGTAGCTCAGGCTGTACTCAGACTCATGGTTCTCTTGCTTCAGTATCCAGATTGCTTCAATTTCAGTGGTTTACAAATGCTCAGGTTTCAATTTCTCTTTAACACCGATTTCAAGGGGTCAGGTATGAATTTGATTGGCTTCCTAACCATTTTTCTATGCACACATTCATTTTTGCTTTCTCTGGCCTTTCTTGTTCTCTAGTTTTTCATTCTTATTTATTCTTCGGTTTTCTTCCTCTCTGAAGGTATGGACAAATGCTGCAGGCCAGCCGGGCTTCGGAAATATGACATGCTTGTTTATGTTTCGAATCTGTTCTGGTTAGAGAAAGAAAAGTGCCTACCACGTGCTATCTTAACTGAAGCATGTTTAAGCAATTGCTGGAATTTTAGGTCAGGAGGAGGGGAAGAAAGGAGGAAGGGTTTCCCGTATGTTGTTTCACTATCCTGATTGAGCTTACTTATACTAATGGTCGATAAAAATCACGAAATGGAAACATTTTAGATAATTCATGGTAATTCCTGGTTGCTATTATTACTACAGAAAAGAGTTTGTTACATTTCTACCTGCACAAAAGTGGGAACTTGCAAGGCTAAAGTGCTTAAGCTGCTGGTACAAAGTCAGTTTCTATGAAACTTCTAGAAGTCTGAGAAGACTTCTTCTCAGACTGCAGTCAGTGAATTCTAATCAGGAGGCACAATACTTGATAATATTATTTGGTGGTTTTAATAGGCACAACATTATTCATGACCAAAAGTAACATACGTTACATTTCCATATAACTACTGCAATCTTCACTTAAACAAGTTAATAGCTATGCTACTGTGCTAATGCGATTATGGATGGTGAATCTGATAAAGGATGAGCATGTCATCAATTTCTCCATCTTTTAGTAAATTGGGGTTTTAGGTCAGAAGGACGATGTGATACTCATCAATAAAATGATTGTATTTATAAAATTGTTGCATTGGAGAGATTAAGCTTGAGGTGCTATTGAATTCGAGCTATCAAAGGATGTTCTTATTTACAAGACAGTTATGAACACCCTCCTGAAAACAATATAACAGGCACTGAGGTGGCATGTAAGGTTGCCCTGCCAGCCCCTCTGGGCTGCACGCCTGGCCTGTTTCACACATTTCGGCATGGGATTCTCAGTCTTTTTGTCTGATAGACTGTGGCTCAGATGTTTCATTCTTTACCCAAATATTGCCAGGGATGTTCATTTCATGACTTTCCCCTGCCTCTTTCAACCAAACTATTTATAAATTCCAGCTATGAGGGTCCTGTGTAAAATTGATTTATAAATATCCTTGTATTTGGGTAAAGGAATTTGTCAGGGCTGGTCATATAGCTCCATGATATGGCATGGGCTTAGCATGTGTCAATTCTAGAGGTCAGTTCCTAGCACACAAAAACAAAAAGGAAGAAAATAAAAAAGGAAAAGAAAGGGAAAATGTAATTCACCTTATGAAAGAAAAAAAAGATTTTTTTCCTCCTTCTCATGCATTCTGTCACCTCACTCTGGGTTTGAAAGATTTGGTGGGGAAGACACGGGTTAGGATTTGCAAAGGGCTGTACTTAGGGCAAGAGCTGGAGTGAAGGAGTGCATGACCTTCACCGTGGGGCTGTTCCTTCCACACAGCAACTGATCAATAAACAATAGATTTTTCTTATCAAAGCTTTCTTGCTTAAGCTATCTATAAATAAATCAATTTAATAAGCAGAGGTCCACTTAGCTTGTTAAAACACTCCCTTGGCAACAGAGCTGTATGCTGGTGTTTAAAGTAGGCAGGATGATGGGCTCTCAGCTCTGACCTATGGACTAGTAAATATTTGCTGTGCTCTGTATCGAAAATTAGCCTGCCTTTGTATTTGTAAATTAAATTGAGTCACTTTTAAGTTTAAATAAGTTGATTCTCTAAAACTATTTTCTCATTTAAATTGTTTCTTTTCATTGCTTTACAATGATGCCTATATTGGAAACGTAGACATTACTGTGGCAGTTTTTTTTTTTTAGTATCTCTAGCAATATAATGACATAGTTGATAAATGTAGACCAGTAGACCAGAAGGAGGAAAATATAAAAGAAACAACTCATCTTTGCAAAATGGCTTGCTCAGCAGATAATAGAAAATGTATTCATTACTCCTAAGATCTCAGGGACATGAAGAAGTATGTTAGATGCTTCGAGTTACCTCAGGATTGCTGTTTTAATAAATTCAAGGTACATAGGACAAATAAAGCATCCCCCTTATATGGTGTTTATGTGTTCCTTTAAAATCAAGACATTTAGGATAAACACTGATTTTTGTTTGTGTTTTGATCCAGGTTCCCACTTTGTAGTCCAAGCTGGTCTCAAACTCTCAATCCTTCTGCCTCAGCCTTCTGAGTGCTGACATGACAGATGTGTGCGTCAATACTCTTAGTTCAAGACAGATTTGTTAAAGCATGCCCCAATAAAGCTCTCCAACACTCCACAGGCTCTACGTGCATCCAGACTCCCCCTTTACTGGAGAGCAGCTCCTCAAACAGATGGTGTCTTTTGAAAAGGTGAAGCTCACCAACAACGAACTGGATCAGCATGGCCATGTACGTCCAGAGCCTTGGATCTGCAGGTTGCCTTAGCTGGAGTGAACATGTGAAATATCCTGACTCCTCTTCCCTCTACCTTTCCCTCTCCTCCATCTTTCTAACTCTCTGCTATCTCTTAGTCATTCTATGGGAATCCTGACTGTTTTTGTTAAAGCTGTTCATGGGGTGGAATGTGGCTCATTTATACAAAGGGTCCAGGATTTTTGTGCCAAGAACTCCCCAACACTATTGCAAACACTATTTGCAACATAAAACAAAGGAAATGTGCGCTTAGGGAGGCCAGCAAACCTATTTTGGTGTTAAGCATCCCACTTCTGTTAGTATATTAATAATACTGTATAAAGAAAGTGGGATTAAGACTTCCTGTTGGAGTCTCTAAAGTGTATTCTGAAGAGCGCATCATGTGAGGTGCAGCAGAAGGCAAAGACCTTATTTCCAGATAAATCTACAAAGCTGTCGATCACGTAGCATGTTACTATACAGACTGGGTGAAAGCCTTCAATGTATCCATTAGGGACAAACAGAATGGGTAGGGCAATCTCTGCCTCAAGTTTATTTCTCCCCTTGGCATTTAGGTATCTCTTCTGAGTGCTGCAGGGCTATCTGAAAGCCAGAAGGAAAATGCCTCAGGTGCTTCTCTTAGAGGAAGAGTGTTTGAGAGATAGCTCAGTTCTTATGATCTCAAAAGCTTTGGATAAGGTCTGGCTTTCTCAGTGACCAAATACACCAAACTGTAAGATAAAGTTGTCTCTTTTCCCCCTAAAAGGAACCCAGAGTGCCGGTGTGTCTCTCTGCAGGCTCAGTCACTGCTCTTCTCCAGGACTCCAAGTTTTACTATTGGCTTCACTGGCCATGACAGTTATGTCCCTTTTTGGGAGAGCTACATAAGAGCTAAGACTGACAGTATCTGCAGTTATGAACAAAGCAGAGGATATGGCGTTCACCTGCAATTCCTGCAGGGGAGGCAGAGGCAGGAGGAGGCTGACCTAATCCAAATGACATTTCCCAATGACACTCAAAAAGCAAAGCAAACCAAACAAAAGCACATTTCATTTTGTGTCAGTAGAGTTCATTGTAGTGTAGGTTATGGGAAAAAGAGAGAATTACAGCTCTGAGCTGAGTTGATAGAGCAAAGAACCACTGACAAAAGCTTCTGCTTCATTTCTTGTTAAGGACCCTTGCCTTCTGCTAATGTTCCTTGTTAAGGCACTGTCTTTGATATGATTGAACATGCGTGAGTGTGTGTGCATGTGCTCATGTTCACATGTGTGTGAGGTGTGTGTGATCATGACATGCACGTAGTGTCTTTTTTTCTGCCTCTCTTCACCTTATTATATTAAGATGGGATCTCTCACGCAGCCAAAGCTCACTGTCTCAGTCAGGTTAACTGGCAAGTGAGCTCCTTGGATCTTGCTATCTCTGTCTCCTAGTACTGGGGTTGCAGGCATACACAGCTGCCATGCCAAGCTTGTACATGGAGGCCGGGGATTTGAACTTAGGGCCTTTTGCTTTCAGGGCAAGCACTCTTATCCACTGAGTCATCCCCCAAGCCGCTCTTAAATAGAAATGTATGCATAAGTCCTCTTGTAGAAAGCTCAAGGCAGGCTTATATGTTCCTTTTGAAGGGATTATTTCTGTGTTTTTGCCTTCATTGTCAGAAAGAACATTGTTTCATAATTTCTTTCCCTGGCTTAGAAATCCTGGGCTAATTATTTTAATTATATAATAATTGTATAATGTCTTTTATTTTCTTACTAAGTAAGGCTCTTATGACTTTAAGGCTTAGTTTGTAGTGTCATAGATGAAAATGGCTTTAAATACACAATCAGTTCTAGAGATGGTTTCAAATGGCTGAACTTGGAAGTGAGCAAAGGACTTGTGTTGGTGTCCCTGTTCTCATGCCCCAGGAGACCTTCCTTGCTTTCACAGGGTGACCAGGTTACCTTGTGACTGTGAGCAGCATTGGGGAGACACTGGAAGTGGATTAATGAGCGTCTGTTGTTTGACCTGTTGGAAAGATAATAGACCTTAGACCTTTTCAATATTGGCATAATTTATCTTTTAAAAAATAGAAGATGCTTCCACTTAGTGGATCTTTTTGACACGTTAAGATTTATGAACCATCTGAGATATTGTTTGTAGGTGAGTCATCAGTCTTGCTTTATGTGATTCATATTAAAATATTTTAGGTTCCAACTGAAATCTTTGCAGGGAAAAAGTACAATTTTTTTAAAAAGAAATTCATCTTGTGTTCTTTACATGTGGAAGTTTAAGAATTACTTGGGATTGTCCAGAAAGACTTTAGACTTCAATAGTAGATTATTTACCCAGAATTTAAATGTTTTATCATCAGCTTCAGGGGTAGCTGGATTTCAGGACTTCTGAGTTCTAGCCTGATTGTGTGACAGTTTGACTTTGCCAAATTGTTTGGTTGTCAGCAGCTGCTTATATTTACTGTAGCCTTAAAACTTGTATGGTTTACTAATACCCTTTGTCACCAGAAGTAGTGTCCGCTGAAACTGAGGAAGACAGTTACTAGGCATTTTATTATTTAATCAACTTCTTTAATCAGTTTGATGAAGGTTCTCCTCTATTGCAGATGTACTGTTTAGTCTCTGACAGGAACATCAACCACTTCCAGGAAGGCATTTCCTTAGGAAAACACAGTTTGCTCTTCTGTTGGTAGCTCTTAGCTCCAGGAGGAGCACAGAGGGCCTAGGAGTCTGAGGTTGCTCAGCTCCCCTTACCAAGGACACTGGCTGGGAGGGTTAGGAGTAGGAGGGGCGTTATTTAAAGTTTATGAGTTGAAGTATGTTTGTTTGTTTTTGTTTTATTGGTTTTGTTTGTTATGTTTATGTGTGGGTGGGTAAGAATGTTATTTGAAAGTTTTTCTTATCTTCTTAGTTCAACTTAAAAGGAATGCTGATAAACATGTATATTAGAAGATAAATATTTGCTTCTGTTATTTCCAGTTGGCTCCAGGGCTATGATCAAATCTCATTGTCTTGAATTCCTTGGAGGAAGTACATTACACAGAAAGAAATGATGTTCTTTTTCAAGGCTTATTTTAATATATTTGAAAAAAGAATCTCTTTTTCCTTAGTTGTTCCAATTCTTGTGTGAGACCCAAAAAGCAGCAGCTACAAAAGTCATTTCCATTCAATGACTCAAGGTCAACTTACAGGTTAGAAAGACTGACAGAAAGACATTGACTATGTGGTCAGTCGTTCTCTTGTTTCTGTGGATATTAGTTTTAAGGTGCCCTAAATAGAGAGCTATGGTCCAAATCACTTGTAATGACATATAACTTCCTCTATATTGTGAGAAGTATGTAGGCTACTGTTAATACCTACTGCAATGCAATTGTCATGTGAATAGTTATTAGTATGAATCATTTAGGGAATAAAGACAAGGAAAAGTATACATCTTCAGTGCAGGCACAATAATTTTGATCTAGGGTATTTATTTATGATAGGTTTCCTCTATCTAGTCCTGGCTGTCCTAGAGCTCACCATGTAGACCAGAGTGGCCTTGAACTCAAACTCATAGAGATCGGACTGCCTCTGCCTCCTGAGGGATGGGACAAAGGTGTGCACCATCATGCCTGGTCCAATTTAAGGTTGTTTAAATTTACAGAGGCACCACCCAAAGATACAGATGTTCACCGTGTATCAATTACCCTGGTATTTAGTGGATAGTTGTAAACACCAACAGAAAATCTCCTTCCTGCACCATATCTGGCCACATTAGCCAAGAAAGCTAGGAGTCCTTCAGCTGCAATGTTTACATGGCAAGCATCACATAATAGCTCATGCACTGCTTACAGAGTGCTTCCTGAGACTAAGGATTTGCAAAGTGTTGAGGACAGGATACAGCTGAACCCCTAATTCCAAAAAGGCAGAGCAGCTTTGTACGCTTAAGTACAGTTGTCTGTGTGTCAATGGAGACAAGTGGGGGACATTTTATACCTAAAACCAAATTATGTTCAGCCAAATGTGTGATAGGTCATGCCTGCAATCCTAGCGCTCATGAGACAGAGGCAGGAGAATTGCTAAGATTTTAAGAGCAGCCTGGGGTACAAAGTGAAACCATGCCTGGAAATAAACAAATCACTGATCAAACCAGAACAAAAAGAGTTTCTTTGCTCATTTTGTATAGTGGTAAACATTTGTATTATAATTAAAGGATAAATGAAAATAACTATTTTTTAGCTGCCTCTTAAACTAAGATATATTTATCATTGTCAAGAACTTGCAACTTTTTGTAACTACAGAATGGAAGATGATCATGCCAGTGGTTAAAATTTAGTTTCAAAAGTGAAAGGTATTAGTCAAAGAAGTTGTCCCAACACAGGCCATGCTTTTGAGTCCATCCTAGTTCCTGAGGACTTTCCAAGGATTCCAGTCTCTGGGTGCAAGCTGTGCAGACAGCCCAGAAGCCAAAGGGCACTTGCTGCTGCCTTGAGGATCTGATTAGACCCCAGCACTTGTGTCAGGCAGTTCTCAAACGCCTGTAACTCCAGCTCACAGGAATCTAGTGCCCTCCTCTGGCTTCCATGGGTAACTGTTTGTGTGCACAAACGTTAAATTAGCAGTTCCTTTATTCTCACTCACTATGGCCCTGTGATGTTAGCACCAGCTTTTCACTAGACACTGTGGGGAGGTTTGCTCACTTAGTTACGATTAAAGAGCTACAGAAATCTGAGATTTTAACCCATGTCTGTCTAATACAGTATTTCTAAATCACTTTACTTTTTCTTCTGTAAATCAGAATATGGCTTCCTAGAAAATATTTTTATTTAGAAAACATAAATATGTATTTATGGTGTAACTAGACCAAAATCCCCAAAAACTATTTTAGAAGACTCGTTGTTACTATCATTAATTTTAATTCATTTATTTCATGTGTTTGAGTGTTTTGCCTGCATGTATATTTTTCAAGGTCATATCTAATGGCTATATAGAAGTCAGAAGTGAAAGATGGTTTCAGGTCCCCTGGACCTGGAGATATGGATGGCTGTGAGCCACCATGTGGGTGCTGGGGACAGAACATGAGTCTATAGCAAGAGCACCAAGTGGTCTTAAGCACCGAGATGTATTTCCAGCCCCCTTTCCCCCTTTTTATTAATTTTTATCATCCACTCATCTGTCTGTCTGTCTGTCTGTCTGTCTATCACCTCTCTCTTTGTGTCTGTGTTTGTACATATTCATGCCCCGGAGCAGGTGTAGAGCTCAGAGGAAAACATATAGAAGTCTGTTCTCTCCTTCCATCATGTAGCCCCCCGGAATCAAACCCAATGCATTAGACTTGGAGGCAAGCACCTTTAACCACTGAGACATCTCACTGGCCCAACAATTGATTTTGAAAAATTAATAAAACTTGATCTGAGGAGATGGATTAGTTAACAATATGCCTGCCACATTAGCAGGTGGGCCTGAGGTGGGATGCCTGCACTGATGTAAAGGCCAAGCTTCAGCAGCGGGGCTGACAGATGGATCCTAGCACTCACCACCCAGTCTATGTAGCAGTGAGCTCCAGGTTCAATGAGAGACTCTGTCCTGTAGAAAGAGATTTCAGGAAACATCCAACATTCACTTCTGGTCTCCACATGCATAGGCACATGTGCTCACACAATCAGGAACACCTACAGAAAGACATGCGTGCACACACATGTTATACACACACACGCACACACGCACACACACACATGCGCACACACACACACACATACACACATACACACATACACACACACGCACACACGCACACACGCGCACACACACAGACACACACACGCATACACGCACACACACACACATGCGCACACACACACACACATACACACATACACACATACACACATACACACATACACACACGCGCACACGCGCACACACACAGACACACACACGCATACACGCACACACACGCACACACATACACACATACACACATACATACTAACACAAGCTAATACACAGAGCATACCCTCTGAATGGCTCCTACTCCCCATCATTTTAGAAGGAGCTTATGTAATTTGCAGTTGTTCTGGTAAAAAGTGGTTCACCATGATGGCTCTGTTACTGTGTGAAAATGACTTAACAGAAGAAGGAAATGGTTGGTTCTAATTTTAAAATTGAACTTGAAGTTGTAGATTAGCTAGCTAGAGGGGCTAAAGATGTAAAAACTCAGGACTTCTCTTCTCTTCACTGTAGATAATTTTGAACTCAATGCATAAGTACCAGCCACGGGTGCACATCATAAAGAAGAAAGACCACACGGCCTCCTTGCTCAATCTGAAGTCAGAAGAATTCAGGACATTCATCTTTCCAGAGACAGTTTTCACAGCAGTCACAGCCTACCAGAACCAATTGGTGAGTGGACCCTTGACAGTTCAGCTGCTGCACAGGGGTTTCCAGGACCTAGAACACAAGTTGCTTTGGAGAAAAGCACATGAACACAAGCCTCTAAGAGTTCACAGAGCATCATCTTATCTTCCAGGACCTTTATCCTACAGTGCAGGCTGCTTGGTGGCTGATCCTTAACCTCAATCCACCCAGTGCCCCTTCTGCAAGCACCCTGTAGACAGCTGCTCAAATTATTAACACTTGAGACACTTCTCAAAACTCGATTAGCCACAGCTTAGGATAAGGAAAACGGTGTGAATGTCTCTTTAAACAATAAGCTGCAGTCCTGTATTTAATTGACATCAAAATATCCAGTTATAATGTCAGGTTATATTTTTGTACTACTCTCAGTCATGCTCTGTGTTTCCAACTTGAGCATTGTTTTCTTGCATAAGATTTAGTCTTAGTAAATACTGATCAAGGTCTCACTAAGGCCAAGTGCTGTTTGGCACTTGCTTAAATATTTTCTTCTCTCTTGGTCAGCAGCAGGTTGACAGGTTTGTAGCAACAGTGATGCAGAAAGCAGAGGAAGCTGAGCGGAAGAAGGAAATACTGAGCAAATTTTCTGTGGTCAAAAGAGCAGGAGGTAGGATTCTTTTGAGTGCAAGCAGTAAAAGGTGTTCACACCTCTAGTTTAGTCAATGGCTAGGCTGCACAGAGAGCTCTTCACTTTGCTTATGTTTGGGTATAAGTAGCTAGGATGCTGGCCGTTCTCTTGTCATGCAGTCAGTGTGTTGTCCATTCTGCACAGATATGAATCAGATGCTGCCTGCTGGCTGAGTATCCAACATGGGTGGGTGGGTCAGGCAGGGGAGATGTAGAGGCTCTGGAAAGGTGGGAGGAAGCTGACAACACAGGTAGTCTTGAGAGAAGAAAGTGGATTGTCCAGAGAGGATGGAGAAGGCTCATGTGCCTGTAACTTCTACATGACCTTGAGGTTTATTTCACAACTACCTCTGCCATTTCCTGCACTTGTAAGCTGCGGCTAAGAGCCAACCAGATTATTTTGGGGGATTGCAGTGAAACTCAGATGTAATGATGTGTGCAAACATGCCTTGGAAATTTTGAGGTTGGACTGTTCAGGAATATCAAGAGTACTTATCCACACTTGGACCTTAAAATGTCAGTGATTGTACCATAGAGGTGGCTCAGCAGGTAGAGACGCATGTGATCCAATGACCTAAGTCAGATCCCTAGAACACACACACACACACACACACATGCATGCACACACACACACATGCACACACGCACGAACACACATACACACACACACAAAATTAAAAATTTTTTGGCATGTTTGCTAAGATAAATCAATGTATAGTTGTTATGTAAATCACCTTATTGTATAAACAAAGTGTTATCTCTTTTGATCTCAAAAATGATAACACAAAAGAGAGAATTTCAGTAAGCATCCAAGTGAAACTTTGACTAGACCAGAGTCTGTAACACCCTCCAGCCCTGAAGATGTGGCCCTTTAAAGGTGGTCTCACTTATATTTGAAAGCACTTGGGAAATGGCTATCACGAGTTCAGAGAGGATCCTGAAATACTCTGCTCACTCATACTCAGGAGTAGTGTAAAGATAGAACACTAGAGGTAGGACACTTTGAGAAACTGTGTTGCTGTTTTGGGATGAAATAAAAACTTGTCATATAGAAACATTCGATGCTGTTTTCAAAATCCCCTCTAAGAGGGAGGGGCCAAAGCTAGAAAAAGTAGATTACAAGTTTCTTTGTTTTTGAAACATGAAATGTGATGAGTTAGAACAATTAACGAGGGAAGTTTTTATGTGGAACATTTTAGATTTGTTTTAATAGCAGAGGAGGCCACAGTGCTTAGATTGCATAAGGAAGGGAAGGTTTGGGTGCTTGCAACTGCACAAAGCACCACCTAAAGGATGTTTTCTTATCTAACCTTTGCAGGGATATTATCCAAGCAGAGAAACAGCATTTTTCTTATGCATCACATAGCTGGGAACTTGAGGCACGAGCTACATGAGTCAATGAAGGTGGCTTGCTGTGCGCTTCATGGATTGGATAGTTACAGCTCTCCACCTTTGAGCTTAGTGTCCTTTGTCAGGGAGAAGAACTCTTCTCTCAGCTTCTGGCTCTGTTGGATCCTTAGGCGTTCCTTCCCAGGGGGATTCAAGATGTTATCTTTCCCCCCAAAGTACTCACTTTTCTTCTTCTGTGTGGGACTGTGTTCATACCAAGTATTAGTGAGCGTAGCATAAGTGTTACCATCCTCAACTTGAAGGAGAGCTGGGGCCTCTTCAGCCAATAGATACCGGGTGCATTAATGTACTAATCTCACTGAATTACTTCTTTCATCGAGCTATTTACTCAGAAAAACTTCAGGGTTCCAAACAAAGCCTTATAAGTAAATGATTAGATGAATCTCATGTGCCTTCCACTCAGACTTCACAATGAACTTTTTCCAAATTTGGTTCAGTCTGCTCTGCTCTGCCATTCAACACTAAGTGCTAATCTCATCAACTGCTCCAGCAAGCACGTCCCCAAAGTGGGGATGTTATTTTCATGTCCATATTGCCTTTGTCACAGTTCAGAGGATTATTAATTAGAAACACTCCTTAATATTATACAGTAGTCAGTCCACTTGAATTTTAGTATTAAGCAATAATATCCATTTGGAGGATAGTCTCCTTCCCCTCCCCCCCAGTTATAAGCTTCAACTAAAATTCATGGTCTAGAATGGTTACTGTAATTAAAAAAACCCTTTCATGTTCTTGTCAATCATCTTATTTAATTCTGACATTAATCCCCAATGGAAGTCCCGTGAGTGTCATTTTGTAGATAATGAAACTGAGGCCCAGAATAATAGGACATGCACCCAAGCATGGCATTTGTTAAGTGCCAGGCCTGTCAAGATGGTTTGATCTTCTGTGTATTTTTGGTGGCATTGCCAGGCCAACAAAGTAACCACTTCCAAGCGCAGTAGTTTGAAAGCTGAATTTGAAAATGTAACTCTACTAAATAAGTTAAAATGCTAACTAATACAGATTCAAACACTAACTACTTCTTTCGCTAAAGTTTGTCTTTATAACTGATATTACAAGTGGGTTCAAAATTCAGTCCCAAGAACCAGTCAGTCTCTGATTGCATCATAACGTATAATAGGATTAGCAGGCCATCGGTGCCAAAGAGCTCACAGTAGAAGCATCTTTCTCAATAGATCCCTGATTTTATTTCTGTAATCCATCTTTCTAACAACCTTTAACATAAAACCATTCGTAGTTGTGGTTTGGTATAGCAGGACAGTTGTGTAAATGGCTGACAAATTTTCTTCCGTGAATAAAACCAAAACAGGTCTCCTTAGAAATCAGTCTGGGAATGATCATTTTTAGTCTCTTGACATACCTCTAGGTCCCCTGGAGTCAACTGTGTTTTCACTGTCCCACTATATGTATTAATTTTCCTACAGTAAACACAATGCAAAGGAAAGACGTACTGTGTATGTATGTTATCAACACTCAAAGTTTTCTGTGCAGGAAGAGCTAAGAAGGGAGAGAGGAATGATTTACAAGTTCCCACTTGGGCCCATTTCTCTCCATCTTAAATTTTTGATATGACTGTTATTTTTATGTCTGCTAAATTCAAATCAAAGTTCCCCAAAGATTGCATGTGAGTGTGTGTATGCGAGAGAGAGTGAGCGAGAGACCTTTTTATTGAGACCAGTAGTTTTATTTAGAATTAATGAAAATGGGACCTTTTTACCCATTTTTTTCTTCTGCTTTTTGCAAGGGATGATTGCATTTCTTTACATTATTAGATAAATGCTAAATACATTACACTTTCAACAAACTATTTTATAATTTAAGATTTAAAGGTCATGCGTTGTTTTTGAGCTGGCAGATCATTGCTGGGGAGTTGAAGTGTAGGTCAGGTTTCATTTCTAAATGCCTTTGGTCAGATCTTTTCCTGATAATTGGAGAAATGGTCTCCAAGGGCCAATTTTACCTTCTGGCTGGATCCCAGCTGGATTCAGAGTTCAGTGCTGTGATAGCAAATAGCAACCACCGTCAAGTCGCCGGGGTCAGAAATTTGCCCTGCAACTGTGCACGTGTTTACTTACAGATACAGCAACAGTAAACAAACAAACAAACAAACAAAACAAAAAACCCTTTCTGGTTAGCATATGCATTATCCTCTGTGTCACTGCAATTATAGTAAAACATGTCTTTGCATGTACTTGAACATTCAAACTGCAGGAGATATATATACTTTCTCTTCAACAAGTGAGAAATATTTGAAAACATAAACTGATTTGGGGGGCTGGAGAGATGGCTCAGTGGTTAAGAGCACTGACTGCTTTTCCAGAGGTCTTGAGTTCAATTCCCAGCCACAACATGGTGGCTCAAAACAATCTATATTGAAATCTGATGCTCTCTTTTGGCATGTAAGTATACATGCAGTTAAAGCACTCATAAACATATAATAAATAATAAAAACTGATCTGGGGCATGGTAGAGAGATGGATCATTGATCAAGAGCTTTCATTTATTGCTCTTGCTCAGCACTGGGGGTTGGGTCTCAGCATCATGTCTGGAAATTTTTAACCACCCCTAACTCCAATTCTAGGGATTTGGATGCCCTCTTCTGGTCCTTGAAGTTACCCACACACATGTGGTAAACATTAACTCACCCAGGCATACACATACACATAGAGTAAAACACAAATCTTAAAAGAGCGTTTTTAAAAAGCTGTCTCTGATTTTGGAACTAACGGTATTCAGTGGATGATTCTTTTTTAAATTCACCCCTTATTAGAACTTTCAAGAAGGATGACATAGGTCAGCAGCATTGTAGGCTCCAGACTCCTAGTGCTGAAGTTGCACGGGTCCCTGTGTACAGGTCCAGGTGCAGCCACTTCCTCTCTTCCCTCCTCATAGCCCCTTTTCCCACTATCCCAAGTTTACAAAGGGAGATAAGACTACACCTTCAGAAGCAAGTTTCAATGTTTTAAATTTAAATACCATTATCTGACCATTTATGATCTGTTATTATCTAGAATGTGAAAATTATTTAAAATTATTTTACAGTCAGATGTGGTGGTATGAACCTTTATTCTCAGCACTCAGGAGGCAGAGACAGGCGGGTCTCTATGAATTTGAAGCCAGCTTGGTCTACATACTGTGTTCCAGGACAGCCAGGAAGATATAGAGACTCTGTTTCAAAAAAACCAACACATACATACAATGTGTGTGTTTTATCTTGAAATAAGAAAACAAAATAGAATGCTTTTAAGCAGCACACAGTTACCCTAGTCTGTAAAATTATTAAATCATAATTTGGTGGTTTGTTCTTAATATACAGCTCCACAACCCCTCCTGGAATTCCTACTGGGGTTGTCTGCTGGGTCTGGAGTTGAGCTAGGTTGCAGGAGGTGGATCTTCAAGTTTAACCACAGTCTTGTGCTGCTGTAGTCACTGGGGATAACACAATCACAACCCCTGATTTATCTGGCTGTTTACCCCTTCTCTAATGCTCAAAACCAGGGATTTTTTTTCTGGGTTCAGTCATCCATAGAGAAAGTAAACACTAGTTAACTGTCTTGCATTCTTTTTCTACCTAATGCTCTAAATTAAACCATCACTGTACTTTATTAGTAAGTATAGATATTCAGGGGGCCATGTCCTATTTCAGTTTTTCTGAGGCTTGAAATTATATAAAGATATGGAGAAAAAAAGCTACCATTGACACTACTGAAGGTTATAAAAAGCAAAGTTTAAAACTATTAGTGGTAGATAATTTTAACAATGAAAGCTAATTCAAAGACATAATGAAACTCATGCTATAGTTAAATCATTTCCAGGCACTAAGTTATGGCAATAATATTAGACCAGGGACACATTAATTGACATGCATTTCTCTACTTGTATCAGGGCATTGGACTTACCTCATTCAAAGCCACTGAACTTTAACCCTGGAAATATGAAAATCAAGTACAATTTTTCTAAATCCCTTCCAGAACAAGACTATTATCATAACAAAGACACTTCTTTCTGTTGCATGGTTTACATGCAACCAAACAAAGATTGTTATGCTTCATATCAAAGAGAAAAGGCTTCAAGAGCTTTTGGTGTTAGCTTCTGTGTTAGACACACCATCTGCCATTGTCTCCCAACAATTTTAGCTACTGGCCAATTCAATCCCTTTTCAATTTTAAAATGTGCTACGTTGAGCAAGATTTGCCTTTGTTGTTTGGTCCCATAGTTAATTTTTTTTATTTGGGCTTGAGTTGCTGTTAACGTCACTCCCTTGCAATGGACGCACACTACTCCCAGGTCCCTTCACAGTGTATCTCTATATTTGCTCCATAGCATTTTATGTTCTGTCAAGGCAAAGAGCAGGTATCCCTTACCTGGTGTTACCATGCACCAAAGCCAACAAATCTTCAGTACATAGGTGCTGGTTAATGATTGTCCAAATATTTCAGGATCTGTAAGACACATTAATATTGAAGCGTGCTTTAAATTATAGTTGCTGAGTACAAAGAAGTGAATCTTTTCCCCTTGAAGACTTGAAAATCTTGTGAGAATGTAGAATCTCAGAGCATATTGGTAGTCTGGGCTTTAAAATATTTCTACAATTTATTTAGAATAGTATTATTTTTTCCTTCTTGAAAGATGACACTCAGATACAAGTTCTGAACAAACGGCTGAACAGACAGGTCTTCAAGAGAGGTAGCCCCATGAGAAGAGACTCTTTTGAAGCATTGAGTGTGCACACTGTAGAGGCCAGCTCAGTGGTCTGTGCACTCTGTAGAGGCCATGCACACTGTAGAGGTCAGCTCAGTGGTCTGTGCACTCTGTAGAGACCATGCACACTGTAGAG